AAATTATCCTGATCACTTGAAGAAAACTAAATATTGTGTATTTTTAAAAACGTCATTCAGACAGCGGATTAAATATTCGTGTTAGTATGCTGGCGGTAAATTATTTTTTCTCAAAAGTGCAACGATATCAGGTATCCAATCTATTGCAGCTACTTAGTATTATGACACATCTACTAGAATAAATAATAACATCTTTGGGCAGTGTGTTTTTCGCCTGACAAGCGCGTCATGAATATAGTCAATTTTTGCTAATTTGACTAATTATAAGCTATAATTTGTTAATGCATTTACTTAAATTTTTCGCGTTGAAACATACAAAACTGTTCACTATCTTTCAAATATGGCTGTTTTTGGATAGAGACAAAGTTATAAATATGCCAGCATTTATGCTAGCTTTATAACATAGAGCGAAAGTCTTGACGCATGTGCCTACTGAAATTGACAAGCACGAGTTGCTCATTTTATCCGCTGGTATTATCTTTTTATTATGTATCAGTGTATGAAAGCACTGTAAACATACTGATTTTGGTAACTAAAACTATATGCACCGATTTCCTCCGAATGTACACATCTATCACAAGAGAATATTAGAAGAAAGTATATTATACAATTTATTAGAGAGTAATGTTTTTCGCGTGAAAAGCGGTTCATATATAATCCCCGTCATCGCTTGAAGTTGGTAAACGCGTAATTTCAAGTTTTTCTTCGCTTTCTTAACAGTATATTTATATCGTAAAATAAATAAAATATTTTCGGGCAATATAGACCACAGCTCCTCCAATAGATATATGAATCCCGTACGCCTATGAGTGTACTACTATACATTTATATTGCTCTCATGTGCATAGAGAGACAAGGTACGAAATTAGAATCTATAAACAATCAACTTTAATACATGCATGGTTGGGGGTATACATAAACGTTTTGATGTAAAAAACGAATTTCTTTCTTGTTGCTTTGAGCTATTAGGCTATATTAAAACCGACGAAACATGTAGGCTAGTAAGCGTATATATTAAGTGAAACTTATTCTCAAACAAATAAATGAACCAAGACTGCATGTCGTAATCTCTCTGAAAGGGTGAAGCAGTAACTAAAGGGTGTATATATAGAGGCATCTAACGGCAAGTGATTTAACGATCGCACAGAGGGGTTATTAGAGGCCTTACGATTTTAGGACGGCAACGCGACGACGACGGCCAAAACAAACTCCCTCAAATAAATGGTAGTATTACAGCCCACTATTTGTTGTATATTAGTTTCTCATCCGGAGCTTCTCCTAAGGCCACATAAAAAAAATTACTTGTTTAACGTCCACCCATTTTAATTTTTCTAGGTCGGGCGGACGGATTTTTTTTTTTCCGTAAAATGCAACACAAAATTCTGCTAAATGCAGGAAATCCAGTATATTACCACAGTCAAAACTCGCTTTAATTCTTTCAAAATCCGTTCATGTTTTCAACTTCCCGTTCATGTTTTTAATAAAACAGAAAATTACCGTTTGGCGGTCACGCGCGAACACTTAGCTGCGAACAGGCATATTCTGGGAAGGAAACTTTGTGTAAACGTATTACAATAGCTCCCAGAAGAATAAAATCACCATTTTTTCAAGTAAAACGGTCTTTTTTATAGAGTTTTTCCACTAAACTCGGACAGATTTAAAAAAAAAAATAAAAAAATTGGAGGTCGGGGACTTTTATCAGGTCGGGCGGGGACGCTAAACAAGTAATTTTTTTATGTGGCCTAAAGTGGATGCGGGCTGGCGGGCCAATAGCATTATGCCATTATTTGCTGGATTTCCCCTCCCCATAAAATTTATTTCGGAGAAGTGCGCATTAAGCATTTATATACAACTTTCTGAAAAACAGCAGAAAATCAGTAAGTGCAACTAAAAGCATGTTTTCATAATTTTGTACCCAGAACGTTGGGCGTTTTTCTCCCCTGCCCCTGGCTTCCGGTAGAACTTTTAAAGCTGAGTTTGGATATTTAATAAGTGTGTACGTAATGCGGGAAAAACTTGCAGTTTGGTTATGAAATTTTGTATTTTAACTATAACATTTGGTTTGGGAACGTTTCTAATTGTCTTTCTTTCAAATTTCACTTTGAAGACATCACAAAATTTATAATAATGGTAAAAAATGGCAACAATAATGGCGAACAAGGCCATATTTTTAAAAAGCATGCGGGCGGGGATGAGAAACTAATATACAGCAAATAGTGGCCTAAAGACAATTCGTGGTATATTAGCAATCGTATGAATTTAAAGCCAGTTTGAAGTTGCACTTGTTGCGGCTTGAAATGCAGCCGTTGTATCAAGACGTGAAAATCTGTGATTTGCATGGCGTTGTAAACAAAGCGAGGATAATGTCTAAATTATTAATATATTGCAATTATTGAATTCTTTTTAATTATTTATTGTATTTGAAGCCTTTGCTGTCCTAAATCGTATAAAAGGTGTCTATTTAAAAATCGGGGAACCATGCAAGGTAAGTATGGTTAAAAATGTTTCAAGTATGCGGACGTATATGCATGCACGTGCATGGTTTACGCTACTCATACGTTTCTCTCAAACGCAATAGTGTGACAGGACCTTAACCGAGATCAGCATGTAATTGCAGTTCTTAAAAAACATGAAAATATTAAACATGTATAAAATATTTGTTTCATTTTAGGCCACATAAAAAAAATTACTTGTTTAGCGTCCACCCATTTTAATTTTTCTAGGTCGGGCGGACGGATTTTTTTTTTTTTCCGTAAAATGCAACACAAAATTCTGCTAAATGCAGGAAATCCAGTATATTACCACAGTCAAAACTCACTTTAATTCTTTCAAAATCCGTTCATGTTTTCAACTTCCCGTTCATGTTTTTAATAAAACAGAAAATTACCGTTTGGCGGTCACGCGCGAACACTTTAGCTGCGAACAGGCATATTCTGGGAAGGAAACTTTGTGTAAACGTATTACATAGCTCCCAGAAGTAAAACGGTCTTTTTTATAGAGTTTTTCCACTAAACTCGAACAGATTTAAAAAAAAACAACAAAAAATTGGAGGTCGGGGACTTTTATCAGGTCGGGCGGGGACGCTAAACAAGTAATTTTTTTTATGTGGCCTTATAGTGGCAAAATAAATCTGCACTATGTCTATGATGAGAAAAAAGTGCTCCTTCAAGGCATTCCTATAAATTGGCAGTTTTGGCACACATATTATCCTTTCCCGTACTTTTCTTATACATTTTTGTTTATATATACCATGCATGTAGTATTTAATGATACCCATAAACGTAAAATTTCAAGCATATATAATTGCTGGCAAATTTATAACTTGTCTCTATCCAAAAAACAGCCATATTTGAAACAGTAAACAGTATTGTATGTTTTTAACGCGAAAAATTTAAGTAAATACAAAAAGAAATTATAGCTTATAATTAGAGGAATTAGCGAAAATTGACTATATTCATGACGCGCTTGTCAGGCGAAAAACACACTGCCCAAAGATTTTATTATTTATTGTAGTAGATGTGTCATAATACTCAGTAGCTGCAATAGATTGGATACCTGATACCGTTGCACTTTTGAGAAAAAACAATTTACCGCCAGCATACTAACACGAATATTTAATCCGCTGTCTGAAAGACGTTTTTAAAAATACACAATATTTTGTTTGCTTCAAGTGATCAGGATAATTTTTAGTTTAGGTTTATGCCTAGGCAGGAAATAATAAAATATATAAGTTTCAAGAAGTTAGAATAAAAGCGCGAGATGAACTGTGAGATATAAAAAAGCTCAAATATCACTTGTGTAATTAACGTTTTAACTTGTTTTCGAACGCGTCCGAAAATAATTGCGAAAAAATTTTTAAAACTGACTACAATTTCAAAGTCAACGTTTTTTGTTCATTTTATGAACGACTTCTACCACACAGAAAGTTTGAAGGAAATCTGTAATCTTAAGAAATTCGAGTGGTCGGTTTTTACACGGACTGCCTCTCAAGTTCTGGGTATAAAGTCCTTGTTTGTTCAACCTCTGAGGGAAGCTGTTCAGATATGCCAAAGTTTGTGCCTTTCAGATTTTTAGCATTAAGTCTAACAAATTCCCAGTCCTGATGATAATTAAATTTAACTATTATTGGTTGAGGTTTACTTGGCTCATTTCTTCTCTTTCCCAAACAATGTGATCTGTCTATTTTAACCGTTTCATTCACATTTACCATATCCATGTTCTCTTCAAGAAGATCATTAATTATCTTAGTTGTGTTTTCCTGTTCTCTGTCTTGGATATTATAAAATATCTCACATTGATCTTGCTTAGAGATGACAGCATTGTGTAGCTTTGTTTTTTCAGCTTCTACTTTGTTGATGCAATCGGATGTTTCTTTCTTGACCTTTCACTTTCTGTTTTCAGATAATTTATTTCTTTGTGTGCATAATCTATCGAGTGCTTCACTTTGTTTAGTTCTTTTTTCATCTCACAGATTTGTGCCTCAATCGTGTAGAGTTTATTTAACTTTTGGTTCATTGTGACAATCCAACTGCCAATATCTTCAAGATTTATTGCTTTCTGTTCTTATTTTTCATCCCTCTTATTTTTCACCCCAATCGGCGAGTCACATCATCTTTTTTTATGGAGTGTTTGGAAGCGTGTGTTGTTAACACCTGACAACCCTCTTATATATGTGACATTAAAGCAATAGGTCTAAAATTACTTGGCTCATCACTGCAATGAACTGACCTCTCGTAAGCAAAACAGATTGGGCAATTAATCAAAATTAATTCGAGTAAGTGATATTTCGGAACAGTATCTAGTTCCTTCTGGTATTGAAGGAACTAGATACTGTTCCGAAATATCACTTACTCGAACCGTCCTGACTGCGTAGCTCAGTTGGAAGAGCATTGGGCTAGTATTCCAAAGGTCGTAGGTTCGAATCCCACCATGGCCGGGCATATTTTTCAAGCTCTCCCGGTGTGGATATGCACTCAGAGTAACATCGCAAACATATTATTCACCTGAGTACACAACACCAACACAGAAAAAAATTTATAGTAATTATGTTGCAAATTACACATTGGCAGTTGAAATCGTCATTTTAACTCATTAACGCGCAAGCTGTTACAATGTTGCTACCTCCCAACGTGCAAGCAATATGGTGAATACGTGATTGAATTCAAGAGCTTTCACCAAAATGGCAATATCTCAGAAACAGTTGCATGAAAAAAATCTGGTCTTTTCAACCAAATATTATTGATATATGATTGACCAAATTTAGTTTAAATGAACTTGCATACCTATATATATCATTAGTTTTTTCAATGAGAATTTTTATTTGAAAAGCAGTTACATTTTGTTTTTCAAGACACTCATCACCTAAAGGGGCAATATCTCCATAAATTTATATAAAAACCAAAAATTCATTTACTAAATTAGTACATACCTATATTATAACCAAATTTTTATCTATTGGGATATGAATTAGAAAATGATCAAAAATTATAAAATATACTCCTTTGCTTTTTTTGGGCAAGAGATGTTTACAACATGAAATTTAGAACAGTAACTAAGTGTTCAAATTCAACAAAGTGTGCAAGCCAAAACACAGTGCTTGTACATATTTCAAGTTTGTAATTACTTCAAATATATTTATAAGGACATATGGTACTAGAATCTATTTATTTTCAATATAAACCAAGGATGGGAAGGTGAGAAAATACGAATTTTCTGAGTTTTTTTTTAACACAGACAATGACAGCTGACATTTTCAAAGGCAAATTGTGGTGACAAAACCAAAAGCTATTAACCTCCAAGCACTGAAAAACACCATAAAAAGTAAAACATTTTAAACATACATCAGGTAAGACTTTGTATAGACATGTTCTATACCTCCATAACAAGGGCATACTCAGATTGCTTACAAAAACCATCATACACGAATTACACATATATTCATCTCGAGTTTGTAGTAAATTGTTATTAATATTCATTTAGAAAACGAAAATTGATAGAAACACTTACCTGCAAATCCTTGTACGGAATACTTGTCCAGCTTGGTGTACCAAGTCTTGACCTCTTCCTCACGTAGTAGATAGAGCAGGACAGATACGACTTGAAAGATAGAGCAGGACAGATGACAGCCTAAAACATTGTACCAGTTACTTTGAGCTAAACGAAGGAATATATGAAATACAAAAGGTCCTGAAAGACAAATTCGTTCAACTCAGCAGTGGAGTTATAAACTAAAATAAAAAACTGTATTGTTCCATTTTTCATTCATATTCTTTGTAAATGAATTAGAAATGTAATTGCTTGTTGCGGAATGTGGAAACATCGAAACAATTTTGTTGTCCAAATGTTAAATCATAAAATATCTTCAACATTTCTACAAATTTTTATCTTTCAGGCAGTGATAAAGCCATTTAAAAGTTGTAGTAGGTTAACTTTAAATATAACAGTAATTAAACAAAAGTTGACATTCAAAGAAAAGATTTTTCAAGATATTGTTTTGTTATACTACATTTTGGGCGATATTTTCTATCTTTCTTCCATTATAAAATTGACAACAAAATTGCAAATCCTTATGCACTCCTCAAGTGCCTATTTTTTATTATCTTGCTGCTATTTCATGCTTTTTTTTATTTCATAATCTAAAGTAATTAAAGAAGCTTTCTGAGTAAATGAGTGATCGTTTTGGGGGAGGTGGTGAGTTTGAAAAGTGAAGTTTTTTCAGCAGAGCTAGAGGTGAATGAAGAAAACTTGCCTCCAAACTACGACATGATGTCTGAAAAACAGGATGGAAATATTGAGTAAAAACTGGCTTAGGAAAACACATCCTCTTGATCAAAATGTAACTGTTGAAATTATTATTCATGTTAATAAAGTTGAAGACAATGCACCTGATGCTATTGATAAATCTGTTGTTATTCTCAATTACTATATCGGTGTCTGAGAGAGAGGTTGAAATTTCTCAAAAGTATGCGGTTGTTTGGAAAAATACAGAGTTTTCTAAGCTAAAATGTCTGGTAGATAGACTAAAAGTTGATAACGCTGCTGATAAGATTAGAGTTGATTATGCTGACATTGTCCAAAAGTCAGAAGATGCTGAAAGTTTGAATTTATCAGCATTGGATCTTTCGGGAATTTTGTTATTTTGTGGGATGTTTCACTTTTGTCTACCAACAAGAATACGATCAACCAAAGTCTAAACCTATAAAAGCCAAATCCGAAGTTAATGGTTCAAATAAAGTATGGGCAACGTTATTATCAACACCAGTTTGTACATATAAAAATACATCAAACACAAAGGTGTCGATAACACCATCAGCAAAGGTTACTCAACAACAAAACATTAACATATATAATATTCAAGAATATGTGCAAACTGTGTCAAATCTTGAAGAAGTTGTTTGCACGTATTGATAAGGAAGTGGTGGACTCTGATGCCAAATTAAGTGCTTTAAGAGAAATGTCAATTGACAATGAGGAAATTGACAATGATCAAATTGACATAGGTTTTACTTGTTCCCCTTGATTGAGCCATACTGGCCGATTTTCGGCCCATACCTGATAGCCTTAGTTGCCCAGCCCCTACACAGTTTATTGTTGAACACTATACCTACACTGAACCATAATGTTTGAGGTCTTCTAGTAATTTTAGGTTTCTCTTGCCATTATTATAGATCAACAGTCTAGAACAACTAATATAGAAAGCACTGGTTCAACAAATCAGAAGGTCGCTGTCATTCATGTTGATCCAAAGAATGCTTATAAACAAGGTAACAATTTGTATATGATAAGTTGGGTGTCCATATATGATGCAACAACCTGAAAGAATAATACAATATATTGAAAAAAATAACATTTTCTTTGAAAAACAATATCGTTTTAGAAAAAAACGATCAACAACACTTGCAATAATTGAATTGACAGAAAAAATTAAACAAGAAATTGATAATAATAAAATAAAAATCTGTCAAAAGCATTCGATACAGTTAACCATCAAATTTTACTTAAAAACTAGAACACTATGGAATAAGAGGAGTAGTATATAAATGGTTTGAAAGCTATTTATCTGGTCGTATGCAACACGTCAAATACAATGATACAATATCGGATGCAAAGCTGGTTTCCTGTGGTGTACCACAGGGATCAGTATTGGGTCCACTACTTTTCTTAATATACATAAACGACATCAATTTTAGCAGTCAGCTTACATCATTTATAATATTTGCAGATGACACTAATCTATTCTACTCTGGTGAAAATGTTGAGCAATTAAATAAAACAATCAATGCAGAAATGCAGAAAATAAGTCAATGGTTAATTGACAATCAGCTTACGTTGAATATAAAAAAAACAAATTATATAGTTTTTAAATCGACAAAGAAAAAAATATTAAACCCATTTAAAATATTTCTTAATAATTGTCAGTTAACTCAAGTTAAGGAAACAAAATTTTTAGGAGTAATCATAGACGAACATTTAAATTGGAATCAACACATTAATTACATTGCAAATAAAATATCAAAGTCAATAGGAATAATTTGCAAAGCGTGTTATTTCTTAAATTCCAACATACTAAGAACTTTATATAATACATTAATTTATCCATACCTATATTATGAAAATATTGTATGGGCAAATAATTATCCAACAAGATTAGATAAAGTATGTAAACTCCAAAAAAAAGTAATTAGAATAATCACACATTCTTCGTATGATGCAAACTCTGTCCCATTGTTTAAAAAAATTGAAATTGCTAAACCTTCATCAGATCAACGATTTATGCATTGGACAATTTATGTTTGAATTTTATAATAATTCCTTGCCTGAATATTTTAAAAATTTCTTTACTCTTAACAAAAACGTACACAATTACAGAACGAGAAACTCACATTATATACATAAGGAAAGATACCGAACTAATTATGGAAAATTCACGATTAAGATTAAAGGAAGTAGTTTATGGAACAAAATTCCATCTGATATAAAAGAAGCGAGAACAAAAATTAAGTTTAAAAAAGATATGAAAGATTATCTATTGTCATAGATGTGCATGCAATGTGTATACATGATTGCATATGCATTCATACATATCTATATATAAGTGAAATATTTATGTAAATATATATATATATTGCTAGTTAAATAATTAAATCAAAATTACTATATGAATATAATCTTATCAATGATACCAAATCAACTGTATTTTAGCTAATTTTATTGTAGGAGGACTGACTTGTAAAAGCCCACAAGGGTTTATCTGGTCCTTCCATGCAGTATCAATTAATTTGATGTAAATGTGTTATGAGAAATGAATAAAGTATACTGACTTTGAAAAAAAAAAAAAGAAAGTGTAAAAAATAACGTTTTGAGCAAAGTTAGCATGGCTGGATGTTATCCGGATGAAAGGCGTGCACTTGAAACATCGAAGTTTTATATTGTTTAAACATCTTTTTTTATTTTTCAGGTGGTTGCATCATATACAGTACACAACTTTGCAGGGTGTATTATTTGCAACCTATACTTGGCACCCTATATTAAAGATTTCTGAAGTCATTATTCTATGGACAATTATTTGACAAAACAATAATTAAGTTATAACAGGTTGTGTCTATTAAATTCACTCCAGACAGCAGCCAAATAATCAAATGAGTCAGACATTAACAAGGATATAAATTAGCTTTCTTGTCGGTCATACAAGTTATTTTTATCATATTAAAATTTGGACAAAACAGTGGTTTTACTGGGGAGCAACGTAAAGGATCTTGTGCGCATTGCCAAGCACAAACGTCGACAAACAGAGATCAAGCAACAATTTACGACAGTGCGGAATATTGCAAAATTAAAATCACTGCTATTGTCAATGCAAATTTAATTACAGAGGAACTTAGAAATTATCAAGATTTGGGAAGGCAAATGACGTTTTTTTGGCCAAATAAGACCAGTTCAAGTTCCAACCTCTGACAACAGATCTCAACCAAACAACAACTTCTTATGCTTGGGCGGTTTACCGTTTTTTTCGGCTTAGATTTTACAAAAACCGGAAAACTGTCATTACAAAATTGTTTACTGTCAACGCCCGAAACTCGATCCTAATTCTCAAAACATGACACTAATTAAACACAATTACATGACATTAGATACAAATTATATTCTTTTTTCCGTAAAGTCGGTAAGAACTAAAGAGGTATAAGTTTTCAAATGCGTTCTTGACCCTTTTATTTTAAAACCGAAGTCGTTTTAGGTTACCTTTACACAATTTGCGTTTTGTCATGTTCTGTTCGTTTGCTTATGTCAAAAAAATACCACAATTCCTCCTCATTCATTTGAAATACAAATTATAGGGGAAAAAACGGTTTTCCGGTTTTACCGGTTTAGAATCAGACGGTTTTTCGGTTTTGATTTTAAGCAAAACCGCCCAAGCCTACAACTTCTCAACCACAAATTCCTCCTGCTGAAGACTTAAAGAGTGAAGACCGCATAATCAACTAGGCACTTCAGGTCATGCAAATGGGAATATTCTTTATGCAACTTGATGACACAGAACATGAAGGAGACAGAGAAAGAATGATGAGAAATTGGAAATTGCTCATGCACTATGCAAGATGCTCGGGAAGATAAAAAAGATATGCTGTCAAAGCAATGCAACTGATCACATACTGCAGAGCACTATATATGGAGAAAATGGCACATAGTCATTCATGCAGGGGCGGATTCAGACAGGTAATAAACCTGTCAGATTTTTCAAAGAAAGAAGATCTATAACTTTCCCCATGTATATAACTAATTTAATATTCTGTTTCATAAAATTGATATTGTCTAATCTATTATGCCACTTAAACACTGTTATTGAAATTTGATTATGAATTACTGAGCATATTTAAGACCCACTTACATAATAAGCATTTAATTAATTAAGGACTTAGGCCACATAAAAAAACATAGTTGGTTAGCGTCCTTAGCTTTTGCCAAAAACTGGGCGGGCAGGCGCTTTTTTTTTAAATTTTTACTAATTTTTAACGTCTTGGTTTTACTCACTGTTAGGTCCGAAACTGGATTGTCTTGCGCAGTACAGATATTTTTTTATATATTTCAAAATATGATTCATACCGTCATTTTCGCACGCAATTTCTTAACACAATTGACTACAGTCAACAGAAATACTACATATATTAGAGCCTCTTGATCAATAAAAGTGTTTTTTTTAAATAAAAAAAGTCCTGAGCGGGTCCTTTTTTGTGGGCGGGCGGGGACGCTAACCAACTATTTTTTTTAATGTGGCCTTATCGTGTCTGTTTCCTCTTACGAAATGTTGTAATACTAGATTAATAATCTGCTAGCATATTGTCGTGGGTCATGGACTGGTAAACATCAGATCAATTACACATAATTGCCCGCAAAAGTAAACCTGTGGTCAGAGTTCTCTCAATGAGAGTAAACCGGTCGATACGCCATTCGATTGCCTAAACGGCTGCGCTCTGCCAGATGTAAACCAGACATAAACCTGTGAGTCGAGCAGTATTTAGAGAAAACTGGGCATGACAGTTAACAGAACTTGAGGACATGCAAAATATGTTTATAATATTGTGTGACTGAATCATTGCATTGGTGACAAAAGCATTTACATGGATTTGTTGTTCATTTTGAAGGTTTGTTTAAAAGTCTAAAGTTATAACTGTAAGCTATTTTTTATTATTATTATTAGAAAGTTATTTAACTCAATTCCATCCACCAATATTGATTTCCGACGTATATGACTGGAAGATTAAATATTAAAGAGCTCCGCGAGTATTTACAGTGGAAATATGAAAATACCACCAAAAAATTCCGCTTGATCAATACTATATATTCCGAAATATTCGAATAATTTTGTTTCTCGCTCAATTTCAAACAAATTTCTTACCTTGAAATGATCAATGCCCTGATTCCACCTGATTCAAATGCTTGTATCTTTGCTTTTTTCAACGTATAATAAAGACAAATATATTAAAAGAGTCACCATCTTTCATTCTATATCTCGGAGCAGTCTCGGGAAATTGCAAAATAATCTATGCTATTATGGCGATTCTCGTGCTCGGAAAGTGTTCGGCCAACTTCGGACGCCAAATTCTTGGTAAAGCATTACAGTTTCCTGGTAAAAGACTGCAGAAATCACTTCCGGAGTGTTTTTTTTACCCCAGATACGGATTTTGATTGGCTTAGGCAGAAAAACAAACCTTTTAGAGCAATTTTCCTGATTGTCTTGGAGTAGTCCTGGTGGACCTTGATTGCCTATTTAGTATATGCAGGTTTGGTAAAGGTCGACAGTGAGATTGAAAACTATTGGAGTGTAAAAACCTTATATCATGGTCTGTGGGCAATAGAAATAATTTCCCGGTTTAGGTACAAAGCGCTTATGGCGTTTCTGAATATGGTAGATCCTGCACTCTAAAAACACTCTGGTTGAAAATTCCTGGTTAACAAGAAAATAACACGATTTGGGTTAAAACGGTGTTCCGGGTTAACTTTCCTGGTTTGTTTTTCATTCCGTAGTTACTAAAACATGGAATGAGCCACAATGAGCCACAACGACCCTGCAATGATCCACAACGACCCCACTACGACCCAACAACAACCCACAATGATCCCAAAATTACCTTCAGTTGCAATTTTGCATGACAATAAACAATATAAGTTATTGTTTGTGGATACACCACATATTTTATTATTACATGTGATCAAAATTGGTGGGAAATGCAAGGCTTCCACTTGTTTCCCTCACAGCCTGTTTGCAGGCATTCCCACTCACAGGCTGCTAGCTTTCGAACAACATTCCTTTCTGCCTGCTTAGCCAATGACAATCAAGGTTCCATATTTCAGAACTTTTTGCCGCCATATTACAGAGCCAATCACAATCAATGTTTCAGACGTATAATTTCTGAGCCACTGAACAATATGGCTTCTCTGGAAAAAACATTGGATATTGCTGCTCACATGTTCAACATCATTCGCTGCCTTAATCCGCATCAGAAAACAGCGATTCGAACAGTAATTATTGAAAAGAAAGACGTGTTTGTAAATTTGCCCACTGGCTTTGGAAAATCGCTCATGTACCAGGCACTTCCGTTTGTAATAGACGAGGTGTCCAGATGGCCAGGTCATATTGTGGTAGTTGTCTCCCCGTTGTTAAGTCTCATGGATGATCAAGTAGCACACCTTACAAGTCTGGGAGTAAGCGCGGTTAATATAAGCTCGCGCATGGAAGAAGATTGCGATGGTGTCGAAGCTGGTGAATATTCTATCGTTTATGGCATGCCAGAAGCATGGATACTGAACCCTCGATGGAGAAATATGCTTAATAGTAAAGTTTATTCGACAAGATTATGTGCTCTAGCAGTCGATGAGGCCCATGTTATGAGACAGAGTGGTGAGTTTAGTTAAAATTTATAATTTTAAACGATATAAAGCTAACTAATTTTATCGATTCATAGTGAAAATCAGAAAATGTTCTAAAATATGGTAAATACAATGTTTGATTCGGTT